CAAATGGACTGAAAACAACTGCTTCTACCAGCCAAAACATCTTCATGTGCATTATTTCCAAAACTTCTAAAGAGTACAAATTCATTAACAGCTGAAAACCAACTAAAACACTGAAAGCCGCATAAATGCAAGGTATCAAACAATTACAAGGAAACGACTGCACTGACCTGGTAGTGAAAACATTCGAAACTAAAGAAATAATTCATTTTAACAGCAACGGAAACGAAAAATGAGGTGGAACGCAACATTTGTGAACAATACACAACAAGATAAGTCGTGTATAACGGCAGGATAAACAGAACAACAAACGCGTACACGAACAGCTACGGAAGTGCAATACAACATGGCCGACTAACTTGGACGAAAATGACCTTTAAGCGTCTCAATTCACCAATGACCTTGATAAGTTACGGATAATTTCAGTCATATTGTGATTTCATAGACATAACGCAGGCTCATAGGTGAAAGAAAGTTATTGTCCTGGAATAAGAAAAAGTTGTTCATAATGCAAAGAGGACATGATTTTTCAGTTTATTTGTATATATGATGTTGTGCATCGGGTTTCAATATCCAATACCCTGATTACGAGCTAGTATAAACCAGTGATTTCTTTGAGCTCGCTTCTTGATTGTGAGGTAGAGGTTCCAGATCTTCGGTGACCTTCTGCGTAGTAAGTCCAGCCACTCGACTGCTTTAGCTCTGGTAGACTCCAAGAGGAGTGGTACGGGGATTGGTCAAGATGTGGTTTGTAGTATGCAGTATGTTAGGACTGTATTGATGCCGTGAACGGAGTTTGACCTAACTCACGTTGATCATAAAAGCAGAATAGTAATAATAATAATAGTAGTTTGTAGTGTAGATTATATGAGTTGAGATAAGTCGAATAATAAAGGTAACCTAAGGAAAAGATAGAGTGAGAGAAGGCAGAACGGGTCGTGGGGATTTAGTTTGTATGCTTATCCATTGACAGTGTGGTTTCAAGTTTTATGAGGATAAGCTATTGAGACACAAACCTTGCATTTCTGCATGATTGTCTAGCTTCCGCTTAAAAATTTCTAGAGATGGCAGTGTAGTCACGGTCGCCAGTAAAGCGTTCCAGAGACGGCAAACACGAAGCGAAAAGAAATGTGATCGCACTCGAGTCTTTGGTCTCTGGTGTGCTATCCTTAGCGGGTTACCTCGTGGAAGCCTATAATCACTTAATGGCAGGATGCTTTTATTTGGGTGGGCCTGGTCATTTAAGATCTGGTAGACGGTGATGAGGTCTCCCCTGTGCCTACGGTAACTAAGTGTGAAAAGACCTAATTTCTTTAGTCGTTCCTCATATGATTTGTTGCGGAGGCCGATCACCCATTTTGTCGCTCGTCTCTGGACACTTTCTGGAATGTTAGCATCCCTTTTGAGTAGCGGAGGTGCAATGATATTATGCACCTCAAGGTGTGGCCTCACATATGTCTTATATATCTTAAAGAGTTGCACTGAGTTCTGAGTGGAACGTTGGACTAAGAACTGTATATAAGTGCATTTACATAATGTTAAACATTACGAATGCTTCTGTTTTTTGGATCAAAAACATGATTCTTCTCATTCAGTTTAGTAATGAATAATGGAATTTCTTCCACATGAATGTTGCTTAATTGTAGTTGTAATCTGTGTAGACCCTTAAGGCAATAAATTCTTCATGAAGAACGGCTATGGAAACCGAAAGTACTTTTAGTTCACTAGATCTTACTGACTTCCTGTATAAATTTGATGTTTTCAAGTGTTTATTTAAAATCTGCTGGTGTATTCAGTAAAGGGAAATTTGTAGTGCATAATTCCTACACTTGTTGTTGTCACTGGTTTTGCCAGGATACCACTTGCTCGTTTTATGCAGCCGAAATACCCAATTCTCACTTTATTGAGGAAACACTATATTGCCCGCAAAAGTAGTGCATCAAATTATGAGTTTCATAAAGCCCACAGGATGTTTTCTTTTTACTGGATACTGTTTGAGAATTATCCGGGGAAACACATTTCCAAGTGGGCTGATTTCTTAAACTGTCATCCTGTCAAAATACCCTGAAATTGCTGTGACGTCAACTACATAGGTGAAACCATGAGGTCAAGGATAGTCAGATTATCAGAACATAAGAATTTAGCTAAGGGGAGAATGGTTGACCCTGAATAGATAAGTAATTTAGAAAAAGCTCAGCTATTACACTTCACGAATTACCAAACCACCTCACAATAGGGTGGGATAGGGTTAAAATTCTAAAAAGTAGTCTATGTAGGTAGAGAGAGAGGTTGATCGCGGAATCCTTATTCATCGAGTCCACACCCAACACATGCAACAGAAATGACTCAACGCAAATACTAGAAATATGGAAGATATTACTACCGCCGGTCAAATCAGAAGAGGATAATAAATAATCTTAAAATTCTATTTCAACTCAAACGCATCACAACATTCTGACAAGTAACTTATTATGACTATAAAAACACTCGTCGTTTTTCTGACATAATTGTAATGGATCAATAACACTCGTACTATTATTGCTGAATGTGTATTATCTCACATTGATTTTCAATCCAATATATAATCGATTCCACACCTTTATATAAATGAAAGAAAAAAGTCGTGTGACTGACTTGATATGATTATGAGGAGTAGTTTTTGCTCGAGACGTCATCAGCTAATATAACCGTACAACACTGTATGATTTATCATCAAAATAAAGTCTTATCCATACTGGAGAAACTGGAAGATATGAAAAAACTACTGATTTTTGATCGTGGTGTCTGTGCCCTTTCTTCTGTATTAAGTAGTCTAATATGTTGAGTAATATTGGAGTTAAGCTTAGTGTTGAATAGAAATGAGACTCAAAACGTTGCTAATGACACAGACGGATTCATTCTGTGTAATCTCATATATTTGAGCAACCCTTATATTTTTTCCATATCATTGTTCGTTTTCCATCATATTTATGCTCGTTAGAGTTCCATTTAATTTCTTTTTTCTCTACCTTTGTGTGCTACATGGAATGTGATAACCTAAACGGGTGCACTTGGGTGCAAGCTTCTATGTTGAAAGTCAATCTATCAGAATGATCTGTAGTTCAGGTATAATGAAATGCTGAAACTTATATAAAAAGAAGGGAAATGTCAACAAATGATAATCGTATCTTTCTCATTTGGTTCCTGTCTAACTGAAAAAAAGAGTTATCTAACAATAATTTCTCCTCTTACCCGAGATAACTATCACACTCTGTCCTGTTATATCTAATGAGTTAGTTGATTTTATCCGGTAGCCTAAATGCGAAGTCGGAAGACATCTGATGTATTATGTTCTGCTTATCACCAACTAAACGTAATATTTTTCAAGTGTGGAACGTAGAAAATCGAACTGCTGCATTTCTGTGCTGAGCTCAATGTTAAAACTCAGGCAGTCAGCTCTGTCACTGAAGATGCGTAGTGTCACAACTTACTCCAGAGTTAATCGGCTTAAAAAATTATTATTGCCGTTCCTTAAATAGTCCTTGCATTTCCCAATTCCTTAAATTGTTCAGATGAAGTACAACGAAGAAGAAAACATAAAGCGAAAGTCAGTAGTACGGACATAAGAAATAGTGTGGATAGAAGTGAATGAGATGAGTGATTTTTATGCCTATAGTACGCTTAACTAAAATACTCATGTATATGAATGAAGTAAAAAGTTGTGTGACTGACCTGATGTGTATATGAGCAATAATTTGTGCTCGAAACGTCACCAGATAACATTACTGTACAACACTGTGATTTATCAAAGTAAAATCTTATCCAAAATGGAGTTATACTTTACCACAGTTCCCAAGTTTTTACTGTTATTAAAATACTTATCCTATGCGTTATGTGTCTCCTAATTGTTTCACTTTTGTCTTTCTCACTGCAGGTTGTCAGTCTTCTTAGACATTCTACTAGATGTCGTCATACAGTGTCTGTGGTCAGTCTTTCAATACATCCACCTTCCACAAAGTTGTGGAGGTGGTGCTGAGCGATTCGGAGTCACAGCTGACCTTTTGTAGGACTGTAGTGAATACGTTGACTGGTCACTAACCAGCAACTAGTATCATGCATCTAGTCCTAGTGTTATTGCAGACCGATTTATGCCCGTAAAGTTAGCAGCGTGACCAACATAATGGATGGCTATCCACCGAATCGCACACAAAATTTGTTCACCAATCAGAGGATTAAATGCAGCTCTACAAAATGCCAGGCTTTCTGCGAAGGTCTCCAATCATCTTACATCATTTCGGCATGTAGTGCAGTGGCAGAATCACTTTATATGGTGAATATGTTGCAGAAATGATTGATGGGATTCATTGTGCACCAAATGATATGTAGAGTTATTGCACTAGTAACTGTTTTGTTACCAATCGAAAAAACCAATTCAAATGAATAGAAATTTATAATCGATGGCTTCGTAATCATGCAGCAGTGAATGAAATCTTTCCTGACAAAAATCGACACTAGCAAATATTAGCGTAAATTAGGTTGATGTCAGGCTGCGGGGGATTTTCTCTAAAGATAGAGCTACGGATGACCTTGACACCAAGCAGTCTTGCTTGTTTTAATCTAATGATAATTCTTCTTATTTTTATGCTTGTCTTCACCCTCCTAATTACTATTTACGCCCTTCTGCCAGCATTTTACATATTGTTTCCTAAGAAGAGAAAAATGCTAAGTTTCCTCCCTGTTATCCTCCGGTCATAACATCGGCCGCAAACTACCTACTTAATTAGGCGTGAAAACAAAGTTTCCGTGGGGCAGTAGTGATATAAACAAAGCCAAAAAGACTAATGATACCTATTAACTAGGGGACAAATGTATCTGGCTTAAGCGAATCCTCGAAATCCATATTGGAAGTTGAATATTTGACAGCTGTGAAGGTCAATGAAGTTTGTGATTTTTCAAAACCTTATAAGTTATTGCTCATTTGCTTGCTCTGGTAACACCTTGGTTTCCAGCATTTGAATATTATAATGAGTGCTATTGGTGAGGAAGATGACATGCAAAAAATGCCACCACCATATCCGGTGGAAACGACAATGCCTGTTCCGGATGACGAGAAAGGTAATGTATATATCATTATCTGATTGAAATACACTATAAATTTTTACTTATCCTTATTATAACATTCAGAACTTTCTGTGTATATGAATGTCAGCATGGCTTGAAAAATACACATTTTTAGTGGTTCATGTGAACATTTATTCAAATGAAAAAAATCTTTTACTTTTAAAAGCGTCTTTTTTTAAAGCTCTGCTGACATCATGCGCCGATGTGTTCAGTAATATGTTTCAATGACTGCGGACCACGTAAGGATTTTTATCTTATGTGAGAATCTAAATAACATTCATTTTCTGGTGTGACCGTGGTTTACGGACATTTCTGAGTTAATTATGGCAGAAATGTGACCTTTACAGTTAGAACTTTGAAAAGTACCTTCACGGTTGCACACGAAGTAAATAAATGCAAGTTAAAACCTTCATTTCAGCTACAGCTGAACAAAGTAAATTGAAACTGTCAATATTTTTATAAAATAGTCGAAAAAACACTTTCTTCAATCTCAGAAATTCTTTGGTGCTTTCATAAGATCTTAGTATACCAAAAGCTGAGTGAGTTTCTCTTACCCTAGGTAGCAGAATAACGCATCTTATTGAAGAGTTTCCACTATTAACAGGCTGGTGCCATGGGACTTCTCTGATAATTTAACTACACATTTTGTAAAGTGAACAACGTAAACTGAAATGTCTACGTTTAGTTTTTGCAATTATTGGTTTTGCTTTCTTTCGGTCTATTTCAGAACTGGCTGCATTTTGTTACTAGGAGGATGCATCTTATGACCTTTAAGTGAAATTAGTTTATGAATGATAATCAATAAAATAGTCGCATAATCTGTTTATCAATATAAACTATCAGTTAATAGTGCAAAATAGAAGCGTTCCTCTCCAGAAGTTTTGTTTGAGACCAGTCATTTGTTATTTGCTTGAAATTTTGTTCATCGTTTCCACATTCAGAAATATGTGAGATTTCTAAGTAACCTAACACCTTAAACATTAAAATAATCTGAATAAACACCAGTCAGTCATTATTAATAAATCCGCATTTGTGAGAAATCATCAACCATTAAAGGCAGAGCTAAATGTCTTGGTTATCTGTCTCCATTTTATCCTATGTTCCTTATGGCCGTCCATTTTATATGTATTTAAATAAAAATCAAAGCAGTAGGTTTTTATCACACCCAGTATTTTCACTCCATTACAGTTTCTGACATATATTTGATTTTCCTTCAGAAAATAAAGCTAATATAATAAAGCTAATAATAAAGCTAACACTATTACTTTAACAGGATGCACTGCTAACCTAGAAAATCTACTGTCATATGATGGCGTTATACAAATAACTTTATAAATGAATATGCCACTAACAGATTTTTTAATTTCATTTCCCCAGTAATGTCAAGTAGCTGTTATTTCTACTGGCTTTAGTTCAGAAGTCATTTATGACACTTACTCTTATCCATAATCGTCTCGATTAGTCACTTGGTCATCTTTTTTAAAGTTGTGTGGGAATGTAGGTAGATTAAACTGTTAAAATTTTGTAGTGGCATTTCTCCATTTATTATATCTTAGCGGGGCTTTTCTTTCGGTGCATTATATAGTTGCAAATAAATAAATGAACATATTTCGAAATCAAATGCTTGACGTTTTATGCAAAGTTCTTCTTCATCTTTGGCTTTGCGTGTTGAGTGAAGTGTGGCAACTCGAACTGCTGCACATTGGTGCCAAGTTCTGTGTTGAAACCAGTTAGTCAGTTAAATTAAATTAAATTTAGGAAGTTTGAAGTAATCAAGCTCTCTGATCTCACTTTGTCTGTATATGTGGTTGATGAGCTGGGAATCAGACGACATAAACAGCTTTCGGGTATCGATTTTAATTGGGTGTGGTTAGAAAGCACTAGTGTTTGACGTGAGGAGTTTCCATCTACTCATACCAGTCAGCAGAATACGCCACCATGCTAACTCTTTCTGTCTCTTTATCACCATTTATAGTGGTGAGCATTACATTTATTGTGGTATAAATATCCTGGGCTTCCAAAAAAGGCTGCGATTGATTTTTACCTCGACTAGTGTGTTCTGAAAGTTAGTAATCTAATTCTCCCTAGAAAATCACCTTAAAACCTTGAACTATTTTCTGTGATTACGTATTCCTCGAAAACACCCATTAAAATAGCCCTTTATTAAGCCGCTTCTTTTAAAAGTTTTCTTTCTTCTGATGTAGCTCCTTTGACTTTAATCTAGCTATGACGTTTCGGAAAGTCATCAGTTAATATTACTGTACAGAGCTGTGTGATTTATCAAAATAAAACCTTATCCATAATGGATTAGAGCAATTTTCTTATTTTTGTACTTAACTTTTCTGTATTTTCCCAGTTAAAATGATATCCGTCGTTGTTCATATATACCGATATGGAGAATGCGTGTCACATCCTTCGACGGATAGTCTCTGTCTTTAGATATATGCTTATTCAGAATAGTGTAGTGTTTTTCACAGTCATTGCAATTCACCTTATGGTCAATGCCGATTTTATCATTTTTTTGTTTACGTAGCATTAACTGACTGATTTAATTGGTTTTTGTGTGATATCTATTCTGGATGGGTTAGTATCCTAACAACAATTTTGGCAATGTTCCTCAGACAACAGTAAAGAATAGACATCATAGCCTAGTGACCTTGAAACAACCAGTTGGGTATGTCAGTGTCACGAATGGATACTTTTCATAATCTTCCCTGAAAGTTCCATCCTGACCCAACTTAAAAGTTTTGGTAGGATTAAAGTAGGATTAGGATTAAGGTAAGGGTGAAACTTGTGGTGAAGATTATGAAAAGCATCCATTTGTAATGCTGGGAGACCTGACTGGTTGGTTCAAGGCCATTTGGTTATGGTGTCTGCTTTTTATTGTTACCGTTCTCGACACGTAGTAGGATGATTTTTTTGTGGTTTCTAACGGTAGGATTTTGCTTGTCATTTGATCTAAGTGAAGACAACTGTTAGGAATGATGTGAAAATGTCCACTTTATTGGAGACAATCGAAAGACATTTTTCTTCTATCCTCTCCAGAAAAGTGGTACTCGAGTGTTTCTTAGCTCTCCTGAACAAAGTTTGCGTACCATTTCTTTTGTATTCTGCTGGTTTATTACTGCAGTTATTAAGTATTCAGTCTCTGTGGGTCGACTTTCTGTGCACCTGTGTTTTTAGTTTTCCTACACCTTTTTCTTGATTAAGATATCCAGGAAAAGTGTTTTGTTGTCTGATTCGTTTTCCATAGTAAATCTGACGACCTCAAGCATGTGTCTGATTAGTGTAGAAGTGCTTATTGAACCATTCCCCGTAATTATGATAAATGTTTCATCTGCAAAACGTGTCCAGATTTCTGGCTCGATTGTTAGTAGAAATATGGTTTCCAGTTATTGTACATTAGTTTCCTCAGTTAGTCCTAGTGTCGGTGATCCCGTAGCTGTTCCCTTTACTTGTAATCGTTGAACTGACAATATGTTTAAGGATATAGTTCTATGATATCCATCCAGCTTGAACATGATATCTTAGTGTATTAATGGAGATATTCGTCATTTTGTTATAATCATTTCATATCATCTTTTTAGCAGATCATATGTTGAAGCTACTAAGAGCAGAACAGTTGGTCGTAGACAAAGGTCTTTTTATGTGTAACTTGGGATTAAAGCAAAATAGGGTCAAGATACATGCGTTAGGTTTCATTCGTCGTTGATCTAATATTTTAATTTTTCCTTACTTCATAAGTTTGCTTAGAGTCATTTTGAACAGGCTGTCCAACTTTTGTATGAATTTTTGCTGGTATACATTTCTATCTTTAAATTTATCCTCACCTTTACTGGAGTGGTCTATTCTTTCCATAACTATGAGCTCCTCTTTTGATAGCAAGTTATAAAAATTTGTTTATTTTATCATTTAGTTTCCTAATGGGCTTTACTCTTTAGTATTCAGTTGAGTATAGTACTTCTTGCGCTTGATCATGAGTATGCCAAACTTATATTTCCTTTTTTTTCCTTCCATCTAGTTTTGATGATTTCAGCGATGATCTAAGAGAAACGAAGAAATCTGTCTTTGAGCTGTCTCCGTTATTGTAGTTCAGTATCCTTCGCCGAAGCTGTTAAATTCACTAGGGGATCAATAAGTGTTTCATCACTTCGCTGTCCAGCGATGTTGGTTAAAGTTTCTTTGATAACAACCTATCTTTGTCCCTAGCGTCATCTGTTTAACATTATGATATTGGTGTTGAGTGCTAATAGGTGTTCTCGGCCTAGAGTTCTTCTTGGCATTCCTTTTTGGATTTTAACTGAATATAATTATTTTTGAACACTTAAGTATGCTTCATCGACCATTGGTTTTACTCTTTGTTCTTCCTGTCTTTCGGTCAATTTACTCCTCAAAAGGCAGTTGATATGTAGGAGATTCAAAATGGAGATATTCATGGGAAAAATAATTGTTTTTTAGTGGACAGTTGCATTTTGGCAAAGTCCTCCCATTTTCGAACAGATTGAAGTCTTTCTTCTTGTAAGAATTTGAAATGATGGAGGAAATGGTTAGTTCAGGTGAATGGCTTTGATGTTATGGTATTCTTTACTCCGGATGGTCTGTTTTTTAAGACAACATCTTCAGCGTTAGTTTCAAAGTAAAATGAGTTTTTTGGAATTCTTCATGAATACCTTCTGTTGGTTGTCTTCACAAACAAACCAACCCTTTAAACTGAAAATATCCACTTGATCTTTAAAGGTTTCTAATTATTTCAGTCTGAGTTTTCACTTAATTAACGTCTCTGTAGTACTGTAACTAATATGACTCCGGTGTATGCCACCTTACCATAACGAATAAGTTATAAACAAAGGCTGAGTTGGCATCAAAAGAGTTTAGTCATAAAATAGCTGTCAAACTGTAAATTTGCCTTTCTACAATCTTAAGAAATCAGTCAAAATTCTCAGTGTTAGTAAAACTTTCTGAATCTATTCAGCTTTAAGTGAAATCATACTCAT